GTCAGATGAGACTAAAATTGAATATTTTGCCTCAACACTAAACGATACGTCTGGTGGAAATCCAATACAGCTCACCATCCAAATATCACCATTCCTACAGTAAAACTTAGAGGTGGTAATCTCCTGTTATGGGGGTGTTTCTCTGCACCAGGGGCTGGAGTATTTGTCAGGATAGAAGGAAAAATGGATGGGGCAAAATACTGTCAAATTCTTGAGGAAAATATGCTGCTCTCTGCCAGAAAGTTGTCAATGGGAAGAAGGTTTACCTTCCAACATGACAATGACCCAAAGCACACAGCAAAAATGACCACACAGTGGTTGAAGCAAAAAAAAGGTGAGTGTCCTTGCATGGCCTAGTCAGAGTCCAGACTTAAACCCCATTGAAAATCTGTGGAATGATTTGAAGACTGCAGTCCACAAATGGTCACCATCAAATTTAACTGAATTTCAGCAGTTCTGCAAAGATGAGCGGGCAAATATTGCAAATATTGCTAGATATGCAAAGTTAGTAGAGATATATCCTAACAGACTAAAATGGCTGGAATTAACCACTTGCCCTCCAGAGGATTTACCCCCCCTTCCTGACCAGGCCATTTTTTGTGATACTGCACCGCGTTACTTTAACTGTGAATTGCACAGTCATGCAACGCTGCACCCAAATGAAATTTACATCCTTTTTCCACATAAATAGTGCTTTCTTTTGATGGTATTTGATCGCCTGTGCGGTTTTAATTTTTTGTGTTATAAACAAAAAAGGTCGACAATTTTGCGAAACAAATATTTTTGACTTTTTCTTATTAAACATGTCCAGTAAAAAAAATGTAAAAAACAAATTTCGCCATAAATTTAGGCCAACATGTATTCTGCTATATGTCTTTGCTAAAAACATCCCAATACGTGTAAATTAATTGGTTTACGTGAAAGTTATAGCATTTACAAATGGTGGGTATAGATAATGGATTTTTTTTTATATACTAGTAATGTCGGCAATCAGCATCCTATAGCAGGACTTAGGGACTGCGGCGGGCATTCTGACACTGGGGGGAACTGCCTTGGTGTCACTGACATCCCCTGTGACACCAATACAGTGATCAGTGCTAATAAAAAGCACTGACACTGCACTAATGACACTGGGCGGGAAGGGGTTAACATCTGGGGCAATCAAAGGGTTAACTGTGTGCTGTTTCACTATGTTGGCTGTGTGTGTGCTTTACTGTATGCAAACTGCTTTGTATGGCTCTGCTATGCAGAAGCGGACACGGGAGAGATCTGTTTTATAAACTGGTCTCACCCCCATCGAAGATACTCAGCAATCACCAGGTGTCGGTGAGTAATCACCCAGTGATTGACAGCAAATGGCGGCGTGGACAGGGCATGTGCGTGCGCCCCCTACCCAGAACAGCAAAATCACATATATATATATATATATATATATATATATACACACACACACACATGATTTTGCGCACCTGTGCTGCCCTGTAGCAGTATTTTTTCTATAGAGTGGCGCGGAACCGGTTAAAGCAAAAGTTGGTTCAACAAAATAGTGACATAAGGAGGTGATCCTTTTTTCAACTCAGTGATTCTGTTTTTTAATTTTGTACATTTTTTTCTGACATGTTGGTGTAATATCTTTTACTTGGGTGTTATAATTTGCACTGGGCAAATACTGCAAAGTCTAGATGCACACAGTCAGTAGAGACATATCCTAACAGACTAAAGGCTGTAATTAAAACAAAAGCTGGTTTAGCAAAATATTGACACTATGGAGTGATCTTTTTTCCAACTCAGTAATTCTGTTTTTGAATTTTTTCAATTTGTTTTGATATGTTGGTGTTATATCTTTCCCTTGGATGTTATAAGTTGCACTGAATAAATACAACTGGATAAAACAAAAGCTGTGTCTGTCTTCATTGCGGGCTGCAAAGCAAAAAATGTTATTATTTTAAAGGGGGTGATTCTTTTCTATACCCACTGAAATTGTTGAAGTATTTTGTGCAACAACTACACCATTATTCAGTAGAAATATATTCTTCAGCCAGTAGATGTCAGTGTTTATAAGTTTGTAGCTGCATCTAAAGTATTTTCTGTGTCTTTTCTCAGAAAAAAGTTCCCTGTTTCCTTGTTACAGTGAAGTAGAAAAGCATGTGTGGACTGTGCAGTGCCTGTTCTGTAGGGCTATATACAGAATTATTTATGCGTATAGATCCATGTTGCCTAGCTCTGGAATTCTGATTAAAACATTGAAAAAAGATTTTTTTAACCACTTCCCGTCCAGCCCATGCATATAAACGGCCGGACGGGAGCAGTGCAGGGGCGGGTGGCCGCTTATAAACTTCCTCCCCGCTTCCCTGCTTGCGCGTGCTCCCGATCGCTGTACAGCCTTGTACCATGTAACAAGCTGTGACCAATCACAGCTCGCACAGTATTTCTCAATAGCTGCAAAAATGCAGCCAGAGAGAAGGAGAAATGATTGCTTTTACAGCCTTTATGGGTGTAAAAGCAATCAGTGTAATAAAAAAAAAAATCTTCACTGGTGACACTGTACTGCCAGGGTGACAATGTTAAAAAAAACATATTAATATAAAAAACAAAAATTTTAAAAAATGTTTTGAAAAATTATAATTTTTGGCTATAAACTAATTTGGGTTATGTTTTTAAAATAAAAAGATAACTGAATAAATTTTGGCCAAGATTTATGAGGAAAGATTTATTTGCAAAATTTTATAAGAAAAAACACTATTTTTCAAAATTTTTGGACATTTCATTTATATAGTAAACAAAATAAAAAATCCCAGTGGTAAATAAATACCACCAAAATAAAGTTTTATCATGACTCAAATACTGCAACTCCCTCCTCACTGGCCTGCCTCGCCACTGGCTATCCCCGCTTCAGTCGATCCTGAATACGTCTGCCAGACTCATTCACCTTTACAACCGCTCCGTTTCCGCCACCCCCCTCTGCCTCTACTGGCTTCCGATTGCGCAACGGATCAAATTCAAAATCCTAACACTGACGTACAAAGCCGTCCACCACACTGCCCCGAACTACATCACTGACCTAATATCCAAGTACCCCCCTGGTCTCCTCCTCCCATGCCCTCCTCCAGGACTTCTCCAGGGTGTCACCCATCCTCTGGAACTCCCTGACCCAACCCATCAGATTATCACCTACTCTCCTCCTTTAGGTGCACCATGAAAACCCATCTCTCTTCAGGGAAGCCTACCCCACCCCCTGCTAACTTGCCGACCTGCTCCACTCTTCCTACCACTCCATCCCTGACAGCTATCTCCTCCTGTACCACCATCCCCTCCCTCCTAGATTGTAAGCTCGAAAGAGCAGGGCCCTCAATCCCCTCATGTTTTGCATTGTATTGTTATTGTTCTGTCACATGTTCTGTCCCCCTTTGTAATGTACAGCGCTGAGCGAACTATTGGCGCTTTATAAATACTGTATAATAATAATCTGTCTCAAAAAAATGCTAAAAAATTCATATGGGTACAGTGTTGCATGACCGCGCAATTGTCATTCAAAGTGTGGTAGCACTGAAAACTGAAAATTGGCCTTGACTGGAAGGGGGTAAAAGTGTCTGGACTTGAAGTGGTTAAAGAGTACCTGGAAAAGATAGGAGTAGCTCAGCACTGATTTTGCTATCTATTTTAGCAATAAAATCTCCTGGGATAATGCAAATGCGTGCTTGTAATAACTTGAACATCCTCTGCAAGATTTAAATTAAAAACCCAGCCTCTGAAGCTTTGTTGCTTCCTAAATTCAGAAAATCATTCAAATCACCACTAATTTTCTCATCAGCAGGTCTAGGGTGCTAACGTGGCAATTAACACAGAAAGTTCCATAGTAAAAAATAGATTTGTTTGATCTTCCTAACTGCACCAAAGAACAAAGACATTCGTCAAAGAGATAAACGAGTCAGGGAGTTGCTGGCTTTATCTGTACCAGACAGAATGTGTTTAGATCAAATAGAACACTTGAATTGCTACTGATCAGCCTTCCAAGTAGAGATGGCAAGATTCCTGTGCTTTATCTGTTTTTCCTTCATTTTCCACCAATACTTACTGTCCATACCTTTTATTTTGCTGGAGATCTGCATGCTAAAACAATCTAGGAGGTTAGCAGAGAGCAGATGGAAAATGTATTTGTTTAATGGTGAGTGTCAAGGATGCAAGGAAGTGCTGGGAATGATAGGCGATCATTAAAGTAGGGAAGACAGTTACAAATCTTCTTGTTTACAGATTTGGAGAAGTCATATAACAGGGTCATCTAGGCCACTGTGAGTACAAGATTGCAGTAGAAAACAAATGCAAGTTGAGAAAGGTCTCGATAATTATTTCACTGTTCGCTAAACTTTATCTGACATATCTGAAGCCTAGTTGGGGAGAAATAGCAACCTCTATTTATATTCATTAATAGGAATGAGCAGAAAAATTTCACTGAATTGATTTCCCTACAAAATTACCAATTTCATCATAGTTGAAATTAAAATTTCTTAATGCAGACTGCTTTGGTGAAATTTGGTTGAAAAAGATCACAGGGATTTGTATTTGAACTAAACTATTCATTCATGGTGTTACTGTTGACAAGGTGATCAGCAGCTTTGTTGTTAAGCAATGCGATGTGAGAGGCACAGCTTTGTTTATAAACAAAGCCATGTCACTCAAATCTTACACTGTACTCACTTAATGTGCACCCAATTAAAAAAAAAATAGTAATATGAAAAAATGTTTTCAAATGTTCATCTATTAGTGTGAAAGAGTAAGGTTAAAGGATAAGGTCACCTTTGGGAACATGTTACATGTTCAGGGGCGGACTGACAACTCATGGGGCCCCCGGGCAATAAGGGATCATGGGGCCCCTGTGTCCTTGCCCAAACTCAAAAAAGCCTATGAAAAAGGTACCAGGGGCATCTCATGGGGCCCCCCTACTGACCCCGGGCCCTTGGGCAGTGCCCGAGTTTCCAAATGGTCAGTCCGCCCCTGTACACGTTCAACCGTTTTTAGGGTGGAACATGTAACATGTTCCGATAACCACAGAACCCCCCCCCCCCCCTCACTCTGACAGATAATACAGGGAAATGTTCCCCCATACTAATTGTCAGATTTGAAAACAGTGCGGCCGTGCGGGGCTCAGCTCACACGGCCCCGTCATTCATTCATGGACTTCCATGAATGAATGAACTGCAAGTCCCAGCAGCCTTAATGGCTGTGGGTTTGTAGTTTTTAATGAACCATCACATGTGCGGAGTGGTAGTTCATTGATTCTTCCTGTCAGAATATCTGCTTGCTCATACATCCCGTACAGCAAGCAGATATTCAGACAGGTCTGCAGGAGACCTGTATGTCACCAGCAATCTACTGATCGCTGGTGCAATGCTTTCCAGGCTCCTGTAGACAAAAATAATAAATGCCCATTTTTTTTACCTGCAAAAAAATGTGCGTTTATTATTTTTTTCTAAAAGATGAACTTATCCTTTAAAGGATAAATTCACCATTTAACACAAAAAATAAAAAATGCACATTTTTTGCAGGTAAAAAAATGTGCATTTATTATTTTTTGTTTATGGAGCCTCTAAAGCATTGCACCAGCGATCAGTAGATCACTGGTGCAATGCAGGTCTCCCTCTGACCTGTAAGTATGTCTGCTTGCTGGTACATCCCGGATGAGCAAGCATATACTACTGACAGGAAGGCTCAATGAACTACCACGGCACTGTGGAGCATCGTGGTAGTTCATTAAGAACTACAAGCCACAAAGGCTGCTGGGACTTGTAGTTTTCCCATTTACAGAATACTGCAGATGAGTGATGTGGCTGGGTGGGCGGAGCCCCGCATGGCCAGGTCTTTTTTTGAATTTGACAACTAGGGAGGGGGAAGAAGATCCCCCACTAGCTGTCACAGCAGAGAGCGGGGGCCGGTCTGATCGTAACATGTTACACCCTGAATATGAGTGTAATGTAATATATTACGAAAGGTGAACTTATCCTTTAAGATTCAGGAATATTGAACATCATGTTTCCAGCTAACAACGGACAATTTTTTGGTGAAAGGAGCCTCCCTAACTCCCAAGAGGCTCTATATGAAAGGAGCCTAGCACCTAGCAATTGGTTGAAAAAGATCACGGTGCGACTGCTGACAAGGTGATCAGCAGCTTTGTTGCTAAGCAAAGCCATGTGAGAGGCACAGCTTTGTTTATAAACAAAGCCATGTCACTCAAATCTTACACTGTACTCACTTAATGTGCACCCAATGAAAAAAAAAAATAGTGATATTAAAAAATGTTTTTCAAATGTTCATCTATTAGTATGAAAGGTTAAGGTTAAAGGATAAGGTCACCTTTGGGAACATGTTACATGTTCAACCTGTTTTTAGGGTGGAACATGTAACATGTTTCCTAACTCCCAAGAGGCTCTTCATGAAAGGAGCCTAGCACCTATGACACTGTCTGCATACACAGCTTCATTACTCACCTGCCTGATTTTTCATTTCTAACATGGCAATGAGTACAATTTGGAAATTATATGTAAATATATCAAACAAGCATAGCTGAACAATAAAAGTAAAAAAAAATGCAGACTGCTTTGGTGAAAATTGGTTGAAAAAGATCACGGTGCTACTGCTGACAAGGTGATCAGCAGCTTTGTTGTTAAGCAATGCCATGTGAGAGGCACAGCTTTGTTTATAAACAAAGCCATGTCACTCAAATATTACACTGTACTCACTTAATGTACACCCAATGAAAAAAAAAAAATTGTGCTATTAAAATTTTTTTTTCAAATGTTCATCTATTAGTATGAAAGGTTAAGGTTAAAGGATAAGGTCACCTTTGGGAACATGTTACATGTTCAACCCGTTTTTAGGGTGGAACATGTAACATGTAACCCTAACTCCCAAGAGTCTCTACATCAGTGGTTCTCAACCTTCGTAATGCCATGATCCTTTAATAAAGTTCCTCATGTTGTGGTGACCCCCAACCATAAAATTATTTACCCAGTAATTATAATTCATGAGTGTCGTTTTACCTCCAATACTGCTGCTTTCAACACAGTAGCTGCTTTTAACAGAGTAGCTGCTTTCAACACAGCAGCTGCTTTCTACACAGTAGCTGCTCTTTACACATCGGAAATATGTGTTTTCTGATGGTCTTAGGGGACCCCTGTGAAAGGGTCGTTCGACCCCCAAAGGGGTCGCGACCCACAGGTTGAGAACCACTGCTCTACATGAAAGGAACCTAGCACCTATGACACTGTGCATACACAGCTTCATTACTCACCTGCCTGATTTTTCATTTCTAACATGGCAATGAGTACAATTTGGAAATTATATGTAAATAGGTTGAGAACCACTGCTCTACATGAAAGGAACCTAGCACCTATGACACTGTGCATACACAGCTTCATTACTCACCTGCCTGATTTTTCATTTCTAACATGGCAATGAGTACAATTTGGAAATTATATGTAAATATATCAAACAAGCATAGCAGAACAATAAAAGTAAAAAAGAAAACTAACTCATTTATGTAATGCAATATTCCATTTGGCATAGTAAAGCTGTACTCTAAATTTAGTTTTTGATTAATGCCCCAGCTACCTATTGTTACCTTTATGAATAACAACTGTATGTACTGTATATATGCATAGAAGTCCTGAATTAGCATTTGCACAAATAATGTCCTGTTCTGCATGAGCACACCCCTGACAAAGGCTCTGCAAAATATGGTAATGCTTTTAATAATAAAGTGTGATGGATAATAGCTGTTAGTTACCACACAGTGATCTCCAACACATTTTGATTGAGGTGTCTCTTTAGGGCAGTATAATAGAATTACCTGTCTACACTGATTACCAGTTCTATCTAATACTGCTGACAGATACACCTGCAGTACAACCCCTCTGCCAGATAGCTGCTAAACAAAGAGCCTATTTCAGAAGTACGACTCCTGACAGCCAATTACAATTCATCTTCTGGAATTTCCTCAGTCTGTTTCACTTACCTGGAGGGTAAAACCATATATAAATTATAAATGAAATAGAGGTTTTAATAATGTAAATGGATAAATATGTACGTTTCATTGCATTATCTGAAAAGAAGGTACTGTATTTAAAATGAAGTTTGTATAATAATGGTATCATAGCCAAAAGCTGTTTTTTTTTTTTACATGGCTACCTGCTTGGAGAAAAAGTCTGTGCAGAAATGTCACCAGTCAGCTATTTTAGTTTCTGTAGAGGTGTAAAGACTTTCAATTTTTGGCTTTATTCATGTAGCACCCTCCTAGGTAGGTTGCTAGGATGATAGGTAAATCTAGTTCTTTTTAGCTCCTCTGTAATTATTGGAGCAGCTGTTGACTTCTTTGGGCTGTTCTGGATTTCACAGGCTGCAGGTTTGATTGTTTCCCCCTGCCTTCTAGAGACTTCTAGATTGTAGGGGGCAACTTAATTATTTATCGTGTTTCAGCCAATCCCTCGGGAGGTGTACCCAGTAGGTGACTGGGGCAGAACATAAGTAGCCTGGCGTCTGGGGCACTTCTAGTCTTGTCCTGCTGGAGAAGTTCTCAATCTTAGGGGCTATCGCCCCTTTGAGGCAGCTTGCTGGAGTTGCTACAGTTCATCGAGGTTCCAGCTGTGGTTCGGGAGTTCAGGAGCCTATTCCTAATCAACTTTGAAGTTAACAAAGTAGTCCCACTTATGGATGTGGTCTGGGAGACTCAGTGAAGAGTGCCGGGTGGAAGCTGGAAAGTGCGTAGCTGTCCTGTTGCACAATGAGTATTAAATTGTTACTACACCCACAACAGTAAAATCGGTCTGTATATGCAGTAAAGCGTTCTTGTTATACTCACTTTGGAACCTATTGTTTTCCCGCATGCACATTTCCAGATAGCTAGGTCTGTGCTATTGTATGTGTATAGAGGTAACTTTTCATACATCTTAGGCTAGCCATACACATGTAGATTTCTCTTGTTCAGCCCATGGGCTGAATGAAAGAATTTTAGTACATTTCTCCATCAATGTTAAACTGTGAGTACGAAGGATTCCCCCATGCTCCATCAATTTTTCTCTTTAGATTGGGCTAAAAACCCCAGAAGGAGGAAGTGAAGAGAGAAAGAGAAGAATAGAGTCGTATGACCTTACATACACAGGAGCTGTTGCTGCTGTTGTATTTCACCTAGACCAGAAGCAGAGACTATTATGCAAGTATTCCTATGTGCTAATAGTTTCACTGCAGCTACCTATAGCGTCTTAAGTGTGTGTCTGAAAGTTTGTGAAAGACAAAATATCCCTGTCCTATTATTTTCCTACATGCACAGCGCCAGATAGCTAGGTCTGTGCTACTGTATGTGTGTAGAGGTCACCTTCCAGTATATAAATAGGTGAACCTGTTTATTGCAAAAGAATCTATATGCAGATCCTGTTATTTTCGTTAACCTTCTCCCTTATGGTCTGGAATTCTATAGCTAGTTTTAGCTCATGGCTCAAAAATAAGCAAGAGCCAGGTTAGGCAGCCAATGGCCACTTCTGGTAGTTAAAGTGCTACTAAACCCACAATAGTAAAATCAGTCTTGCAGGAAAACATGCTTGTTATACTCATTTGTGGATTAACCAAACATGCTGTTTGATTCTGTATTCCCTGATTCTCCCCTTCTTCCAGACCCCCCTTCTTATCTCCTGATAAGACATATCATGTGGAGTCACTTTGCACATGCTCAGGTGGTGTGTATTGCTAGAGAAGATTTATTTTTTTCTTGGGAAAGTGCATGTGATCAGCACAGGGCCAATCAGCACTGTTCAGACGGAGGTCAGGGGTTCTGCATCGTCCTAGAGCAAAATGAAAACTCCTCCTTCAGGCTTTAACCAGTGCTCTGCTGGACACTAAGTGCTCTAACTGCTGATGAGAAAAGGTATTTAGCAGTTTATATTTACTAAAATAATTGCATGTCCATGTTCTATGTACTGTGGGAGACCAGATATAGTAAATGCAGGTTCCTGGGTTTATTAACATTTTATAGGTCCGGTTGTATGACA